GGGGGGGGGGGGGGGGGTGTCAGGAAATGAAATAGAAATCGATATCTTGGAAGCTCGTGCTGCAATTATCTCGATTAAATTATTTCGAGACCTGCATACAAAGGATTTTGTAATGACCCCCTTCCTGCCCCCGTGCAGAAGCACCACCGCCATCACCCCTGCTGCGTCTGAATTCGAAAAAAGTTCGACTCGGCGCACGCTGGTCTTTTATAGCAATTTTCTTTTTGACCCGAGAGAGTAGCGTGTGGAAAAGAGGCTGCTGCTGCTAGGCGACTCTACATCGAAATAATCTCGTCACGAGATTACATTGTTTTCATTTGCCACGAGCAAACCGTACTCGCGTGCGTTCGTATCTTTGTAATTAAAGTGGATTATTTGTAATACAAAACTTTTATTAACATCGTGGGGAAAAATATATAGCTCGATACATGGTAAAAAATTTATAGGAAATTTTTAATTAATGTATGATAAATTAACGCTAATTTAAACTTTTTATTATCATTTTAAATACATTATGTTGCAATTATGACTATACAGTAAAACTAATAATATAAAATTAAAAATACTGTTATTATGCATTTATTACTTCATAATGAATTACAGATGAGTGTTAATGATCAATAACGTATACAATTGCGTATATTTTTCTGTTTTTGATGATTTTTTCAAAATTTTTGTAAATTCATAATATTTCTTCATGCGGTATCCGTTAAAATGATTGAAATGTACAAAAAAGTGTCCGTTAACAGAGGTGTCCGCTATTAAGAGATGGTTTTGGCCGCTTTTAAGAGGTGCTCGTCCCATAAGAAACAATGTATAGTATGTATGTATAAGTAATATGACATACATTTCAATGATTTTGTAAACAAACATGTACTCTACGGAAAATTTCCATATTGTTTAGCAAAATTAATGATATCATTCGGATTGATAAATCGCCTATAGATGGCGAACGAGGACTTTTAGCACAACTCGCAAGTGGCAAGATATTTTTTAGAATCAATATATGAGTGTATGTATATGAGTGTCAATCAAAGTCCAAGAATTTTCGTCAATGTCATCTTTGAAATTTTGATAAGTACAAGACATTGGTGTTCATTATTCCAGTCGATATGATCTATTAAGCTCTCAAATTCTTTCATTATATTACACCGTTAATCTAGTAACTTTTTTTTATTCGCAAAAAATAGTGTATTGCCGCTAATGTTTCTGCCGCGAGACTGTAGGATTTCCTAGTGCAGAGTGTTGCTGCGTAAAAGAAACGACAACATTCATTGACTACCCTTTACGATTGAGAAAATTGCCATACAACATGATAAAAATTCAACCATCAAAAAATATTATAATCATAAGTTACAAATCTTAAAATTATTTCACGTTGTACAACAAATACTACCGAACATGATAACTTTCAATACTCATTTTTTTATAATGGACTATATAAATTTCTCTTGGTGTATTTAACAAAGAAAACGTCTGAGAAAAGCTTGAAAATTTTCAGCTATACCTTCGCGTTAGTGGCAATAATGAGTATGCCGGCATAAAATTACCGTTTTCAAGAATGTGTGCCGTCACTATATATAATACATGGGCACAGAGCAAAATGAATAATAACGAAAGAGAGCGCAGGGCGAGAGAATCCAAAATCACCTAATTGAAAGTGTTTCAGTGTCCACGCGGGTGCTCAGCTCGTGCAGTTTACAAAGTACACCGGCTAGATTTGGTAAAAGTCATTATCCCCGCAATGTTGAATTGTTAAATTTATGACTTCGAGTTAGAGTTACTACACGCGCGGACCGGTTGCATTAGTTTTCCAACTTCTATTTTCTATAGCCATTATCTACCACCCCCCTGGCGCGTTTGCGTAATTGCTAACAATGAGGCGAAAAGTAAAAGTGAGGGAAAAAAAATGTATAATGCTACATAATGTTGCTCGTTATCCGCGCGCGCGAGAGAGTCCACCCGAGGAAATTTTATTCGGGGATGAGATTACGTTGCGGGTGTCGTGAGAGCTGAGAAAACTTTTTTTTCTTTCGCGGATAACCACCACCTGGCGAGACAAATTCAGTTTTCATGCCAGCGCCGTTTCGCGCGGTCAAAAAGTAGCATTTCCCGGTACGCTGGTATAGTGCACGCGCTAAACGGAAAGTATTATTTTCGGGTCACGGGGTGTGAAGAATAGCGGCATACCGGCCTAGCGCACAGGCAGGCAAGCAGGCAGCGGAAAAAGAAAAAAACCAGCGAAAGCACGTGTTTATCGGCTTTTATACCTCGACCGCTAATTACACGTGTCCTGGGACTTTTCCGTTTTTCCCCGCTCTAATGTACCATTGCAATTCGCTTTTAATTTACTGCGTTCTATTTTTTAGGTCAGAAAAAAAGATCGCTACAAACGCACTTTAACTCAAAGCAGACGCAATTTTTCATTTTTATTTATCATCAAAATTAAACGGCGTCCTTTTGCGTCGATAAGATTGACATACGCTAAGCTCATTGTTATAAAAGGATCGGGGGCCGGTAACTTTTTTCTTTCTACAAAACATTCGTGATCTAACTTCATTTATTATACACTATGAGCGCGCGCGCGCGAGTGAGGCAATATTCTCACGAGAGTTTTTTCCTGTATTAGACTCATTATCGATTTTCTCCCGATACGTATCTTGCTTCTGGGATTTGAAATTCAGCCGATCCGTTCAATCGATATACGGGTAGTAGGGTACATATGCGTATGACATTTGGAAATTACGCGCCTGACGTATTTTTCTTATCAATGAAGTGACAATGTAATTATTGCTCCCTCGCTCGCTTTCTCTATCCAAAATACCAAACGGTTTAGATTGACATTGCAGAAATTGCCGCGTTCCACAATTATAAGTTCCATCGCGTATACTACGTACTATCATTTCGACGAAGCGGAATTCGCGTCTAATTAAGTTACCGCGGCGGAGATATCACGGCTAGATTTATAGTTCATTCGTCGGCTCGTACAACAACCATTGAAAAACCATAATATTTTTAATAGTCAGCGACAGCTACAGAACGAGAAGAGGGTAAAAAAGAGGGAAAAAACAGAGAAATTATTTCCGGTAAATTCTTAATGTCCCGGAAGGTAGCTTCGTTTTACAACGCGCGCGCGCACACACACACACACACACGTATAACTGCGAGTGTGCGTAGGACAATACCCGTTGTTTATGTGTATACAGCGTCTCTCTCGTACTATAAAAGCGCACAACACGTAAGGCGCTCGTGTACTAATGATTAAGCACATAATGGGTACCGAGGGGTAATTAAATTGCGGCTGAAATATGAGTGATGAAAAAAAAAGAGGGAGAGAAAGAGGCGAGCAATTTTTCTCTTACATTGGTTTACTTTGTGAATTATATCTTTTGTGATAATCTCGCATGTGAAAATGCGTGTATGCGCGCGCGAATTTCATGAATGAAAGTACAATTTTCATCAAGCGAATCATCGCTCAAATTGGAGTTGATATAACTATTCAAATTTGCATCAATGGCTGCTCATAATTGTGCATCGATCAAATAACCGCCGAAAAAGTGATAAATACTGTACGAATTTATTTAAAATACCCCCCAAAGAATTGGATAACAATTTCCTCCAGAATAATTCTCGTATTTATAGCTGGCGCTCAAAATTTGTAAAAGTTAATTAATAGTATAAAACGCCCTTCTCGACTAACAATCAGGTATCGATATGGCTAGAAGTGGAAATATCCTTTAGTACACGACTTTGTAAAGTTCCATATATATGTAAAATAGTTTCCTCTCTGTGTTTGATTGGACAACAAGAGTTTCTTTCAAAGTTGAAGCTGTTTCCTAGTCGATATTCTCCGTGCCCTCAATCGTAGTGTGCTATTAAAGCTACTTCTTTTTTTTTTTGTAAACTCACATGGACAACAAACACACACGATCCTTTAGACTCCTCGTGCTTGCAGTCGATTTCGTGCCACGTTTTCGAAAAAAATAAAATTAGTTACCGGAGCATAACTACAAACTTGAGAGAGCAATCAATGCTTTTACATGTAATTTTTAATAACATTTCAAGCTCGCACGTATGTAAACGAAGTTTTTAAATAAACTCTCCGTTGCACATATGAATAAATAGAATTTTAATTTACAGCTCCTTCCATACAATCGCGGTGCAGCTTGTTCGCATTTAATGAAAGAAGATAAAAGTAGAATTGCGCGCCTGTAAGCTCGCACAAGTGCCACATCATCAGTCTGTAGGAAAAAAAAAAAGAGCGCAACCGAGAGCAATCTATATAGGACATCGAGCCTATGTAGGGAAGGGTAAATTTTTTGATAAGTCGCGTGCGGCTTTTTATGCAGCTTTAACGACGCAATCTTAATAACTTCTTTTTGTTACGAGACTAAACTTGTATCATTCTATTATACATATATCTTTTGTATGTATACACATTCGCTTTAACTACTCTAAAAGCC